CGAGAACATAGTGACCACGATGTCCGCGTTCAGGCTTGAACCACTGTCCATTCATAACTTGCATAGTGCCCTTTGAGAAATCTTGCTTTGCACACCAGGCTTCCAGTGTTGGTCGGGAGATCAAAAAGGGTGTACTTCCTGGAACCACTGAGGCAGTCAATTGAAGGCGCTGACCATTCACATAGGCTGGAAAAGTCACCTCATAGTGCGATCGAAGAACTTCGCCACCACCAAACCTAAAGTCACGCTGGCAGGGGTTCACGTTGATCTCCTGAGGATTGAGGTGCTCTAGCCACAACTTCCATGTATTTTCACCTGTGATCGTTCTAGTTGCACCTGAATCGACAATTGCTTTTCCAGCGTTCATGGTGGTGAAGAAGCAGTACTCAGCCTCGACATTGACAATGTCTGGATTGTCGGCGACTTCCTCAGTGACGTCATCAACCATAGTCACTTGATCTTCTGATACCTCTTTGACTCCATTTGCTTGGACACGGTAGCGCTTGAATCGAGGTCCATGAGCAGCAGTGGATCCGCTGAGGGTGGACTTTGGGCTATCATTGATGTTCGTACTGGTTGAGGATGTTGGTCGACGAAGGCCAGACATAGGTCTTCTGTTGTCAAAGGATCTTCGGAATCCACCACCAGAGCCTTTTCCTTTGCCTTTGCTCTTACCTCCTTTTCCTTTTGACTTGCCTTTGCTTTTGCCTTTTCCACCACCTCCAGAACCACCTTTGCTCCAGGCTTTCCCGTCTTCAGGAGGTAGTGCAACAACTGGGAAAAATCCTCGTGAGAGAGCAAGTTCACGCATTCGTCGACGACTTTCGAGGTAGTTGATGTAGGCCTCATCGACTTGGTCAACGGCTTCATCAATTTCAGGGTCTTCTTCTTCATATTCATCAGCTTCATAGGCCTCCTCCTCATAGCCCCATTCATAGTCCTCATAGGCATAGGTGTCATAGGCCTCGTCCTCTTCATAGACGGTCTCATAGTCTTCTTCAAAGAAGCCGTCATCTTTGGCAGACGAACCACCAGCTTTGATGTCTTTGACATTTGGACGATGGTCGCCTCCAAACATCTTCATCAAGGCCTTTTGGACACGGTCATACTCCAACTCCCCTTGACACAATGCCTTCACTTGGACGTGGGTCCAACGTGGGACAGCTGCTCTCGTGAGAAGGTGCCAACCAGCGAGAGGTGAAGGAATGTTGATCTTGACTTCCTTCATTTTGGCCAGCATAGTTTTGTGCCGGATCAGATATGCTTGCATCTCTTCATTTTTCATTCGGCTGAACTCGCCAAAGAACTCTTCGCAGCGAGCTGGAACTTCAATCTCCTCCTGATATTGGTAGATGTCATCGAGAACCTTGTATATGGGCTTGAAGGGTTGTGCACTGCTTTCCAATGCTGTGTAGTCGATGGATTCGGTCGCCTCCCATGCAAGGTTGTTGAGCCGGGAGATCATGAGCAGTGCGCCTTCAACGGCGGCATCAGTGCTTCTTCGATGGCACTGCCGTTCAAAAAGCTCGAGGCGGCGACGAAAAGACCTGTATGTCTTTTGGGTCAGTCCCTCCATGTTGGGACATGCCTTTGCCAATCCGCCGTCTAGGCCTCGAATCTGAGGAGTGAAAGGAGTCTGGGCCTGTTGTGCGCCCCGGGGATCATCTTCTCCGTTAGGAACTCCACCATCATCATTTTCATCCCGGGTTCTCTGTCGTCGCACAGCTGGTCGTGCTCCTTTTCCTCCTTTTCCCCTCTCATCGGACATGTTTGCCCCGCCGAACACGATCTTTGAGATGAGCGAATGCTTCTCTTCTTAGAAGAGGCAGTAGGTGAGGTCAATCAAATAGGATCGTGCCGTCAGAGCCGCGAGAGAGGATCACCGCAGGCTCCGCTACCAATCTCGTGGTAGCTTGGGAAAAAGTACCAATCACAATGCACACGAAGTCACAGTGAATGTCGAAACACGTCGAAGCGTGGACCTGGATCAATTTGTCACCGCACGGGCGAAGGTCGAGCCAGTCGACGGCTCAAGGGCCCTAGTCAGCCCAAAGGGAGCAACGGACACATGGAATGTCCTCAAACACATGAAATGCATCGATCGAACACAGTTCAATCATCATTAAACTATGTGCGTACCCGACAGAATTACTGTAAGTCAGCAGTAGTCTTCGGCTGGACATCGATTTATTTGGAAAAAGTATGAAAAAGTGATTTGACTGCAACATCTATAGGGGCCCACCCAAAACCGATACCCTCTAAACTGGGTGATGGCCCACCGAAAACCAATAACCCAAAGAGTTGTAGATGTATAAGAAAACCTGAGACCGATAGGGTACCACCCAAATACGTGTAAAGAGATGCCGAAACCTGAAAACCCATGGGGCCCACCCAAATTATAGACGTCCTTTGTGGGTAACAAGTAATATATTGTTTGACACTCATATGGGACACAGCGGACACCCACATCGCTCACATGTCCCTTTTTTGTGCGCATTGCGGAATGGAGCTTCCTTTGCGGAATAGAACCGGCATTTAACATCATTCAACTATAATTAGTTTTACACGTGTACACATCCCTATTAGGTTGCAGGCAATCGCTATTATTATAAATAGGTTAGAGGCCATCGCTATTAGGTTGGAGGCCATCGCTATTATGTCGGAGGCCATTGCTATTAGGTTGGAGGCCATCGCTATTGGGTTGGAGGCCATCGCTATTATGTCGCAGGCCATCGCTATTAGGTTGGAGGCCATCGCTATTAGTTATTAATATCATACACATTTGTTCTCACACCACCCACGTGGTCGGCAAGGAGGTTAATGCTTGCGTACTTGAAGCTGTCCAGTCTCGGGCATGTTGCTGTGGCCGCTCTGAGTGCTTCTAAAAACTCTACACTACTGGAATCCAATCCCAGGGTTCCGCTGATTGTGGTAGTGCGACAGATTGTGTCGATTCGATTGAGGTTGGAAGATACTTCAATCATCTTCAAACGCATATGGAGTCTTTGTGCTTGCAAAACTGCGGTACTGACCAGCTATACCAAACCTAAGGTAGATAGGTGGCCTTTGCCCTAGGTTTTGACCAACACTGTCTTATTAATGTTATATATATATATAACGAAAGCCAGCCGATAGGCTAGGCTTGAGCTCTTAGAGCGAACGAAGTGAGTTAAGGGGGTGTGTGGGGGGGGAGGGCGCGAAAAGGCACCTTTTGAGAGGGTGAACCCGGAGCTTGGTGGGGGAGAGCGCTCCAAAGCGAGGGTCAGAAAAGCAGTGAAAATGGGGTCTGGTGATGCGAGTCGCGAGTGATGCAATGGACGCCGAGTAGTGCACCATTAGCATCATGAAGGGGTTTGGAGACAATTTTTCTAGTCCTGAGCGGGGCATAGGGACTGTGTAGCTCTGATCATACCAACAACAAGGACCAAGAAGGACCAAGCAACAAAGAGTGAACGCTCTGGGAGCGAACGATGTGAGTATGTCCAGAGGCTTGGGGATAATATGCAAGCGTTCAACGCTTCATGCTGTGCTCCGATCTTGATCTCAGCGCAGTGATACCAGCTCCACGAAACTACAAGCTTTTTCAACTATAGGTGCTCTGCCGTTTTTTCTCCCAGCCCTGCTCTCTATAGGTTTTCGCATTGATGCACGATACCCGAAACACATTTCAACACAACCACAAAAGCCATTTCGGGCATCATTCTCCTGGTGCTCACTGACGTTTACTTTTGCACGGGTTCTCAAATAGAACACCAACAAGGGACGCTCCAGAAGGCGCCTCACCAAGCAAATCAAGAATACTAAAAACATTCAACACTTCATGCTGTGCTCCGATCCTCATCTACGTCACAGTGATACCAGCTCCACGAAAAAAAACTACAACCATTCAAGAATGAGTGCTCTCCTCTTGTTTTTCTCCCAGCCCTGCTCTTTATAGGGCTTCGCATTGATGCATGCCCGAAACACATTTGAAAACAACCAAAAACAACCTTTCGGGCATCCTTTTCCTGGTCTTCACTGACGTTTATTTCTACACGGATTCTCAAATAGACCACCAAACAGGGACGCTCCAGAGAGCACCGCGCCAGGAAAATCGAGAAAACCTAAAACATTCAACACTTCATGCTGTGCTCCGATCTTGATTGATCTACTCCACGTTGATACAAGCTCCACGAAAGCTACAGGCATTCAACAATAAATGCTCCGCTATTTTGTCCTCCCAGTCTTGCTCCACCATATTGGTCTCTCGCTGGCTTTCGTCCTCTCGTTTCTCAGGTATATATTCAGGAAGGGTAGTAGCCTGAGCCCTGAGCTACCTGAGTTCTCTTGACTTACTGTCAACCGGCAATGGCAGTTCAAGATGCTGTGTTCTTGTTAAGAGGGCTTGAACAGCTAGACTACTAATCCCTATCCTCCTAAACACTTTGCTTTTACAAGATATTCAAAGCATCACTTGTTCATGTCGTCACACGTTGGAATCTCCACAGCAAAGTAAGCACGTCCAGCCCTGAAACCACTCTCAAAAGGAAACACTAATCTTAAGTCCACTAAACACCCAACATCCCTTTGATCTTTGCCCAGCGCTTATCCTCCCCACATACCTGGCTTTCGTCCACATCCTGTCTCAAGATTGAGCGTTGTGCATGTTGGTTTTGCGTCTAGGGTATATTACATGTGCATGATTCGCTCGAAGGTAGCACAATAAATTGGGGTCACGATCAATATCATTGCTTGACTTGATGGAGAGTTTGTCCAAATTGGCCCGTAGATCATCGTAGATCCCTGTAGCGTAATTAATGGATGTGACCGGACTGGGGACTTGCCTAGATCTGCAGAGGAACTCACACATGTCCGATTAGTTGTCAGCTAATTATTGATCATGCCGTATGAACATGCATTGTTATACATGTTTGGGTTGTGTACATGAAGACATATCGTTCTTTGCAATGCCTCCAATGACCCAACGAACCCTTCTACTTGAGAATGGATTGTCGAGCCAGGTTCCCATGGTAAAGGCGGCGTATGTACACACTGGTGACATTGAGGACACAGGCACCGCCGCCCTCAAGCCTTTAGATGATTCCGAGTGGAACTGGGTGGAACATCATGGTTATCAGCATTTTCCAATTCTAGTTGACATTGAGTTCCAAGCCTTAGGTTACAGTTTGTGCTAGGCGCTGGAAGTAAGGAGATGGAGATGGAGACGCTCCAGGCATGAGTCCTTTGCACTACAAGAATCATGAGTACCAGATTGTATCATATTGTTTTATACTATATTACTGTATATTATACTATACTATACTATATATATGACATGTATTGGAGGCGGCTGCAGCGATGGCACGCACAGAAGCCGAGCAAAGGCCAGGACCACAGAAGTTGTTGGGAGAGCTCATCAGGACGTGAGCCAACATGAAATATAGAGGTCTTACTAGTAGAAGTCTCAAAAGAAAGACCTTGAAAGGGCCTTACTGTTTATTCTTTTTAGACTTCTATTTTTGCATCATTGGAAGTCAAGTAGATTTCATGGATCTCAGGCGGCGATACTCTGAGATTCTCCGCCTCCAGACGGACAACACGCCTGCTCGGAGTCGGCGTTTCTCAGGGACGCCACGCAGACCAGTAAGCGATACAAGCCCAACAAGCAGGACTGAGGGAATCTTTATATCAAATCTTGGAGTTCTACGATTTACCAAACAATGTGTACAACGCTGGAATAGAACCATGTCCAAGACGCAGGGAAACCATGGAAAAAAACGAGCATCAACAAGCTATGTTTCAGCTTCTTGTGGTTTCGTTTAAAGCTTTTCATGCAGCTCCTGTTTTGCTTCGATCTTTTTCTGCGTTGTCACCGTCACCTTGGAATAATACTTCTTGCATTATCATTGCTCTAGGAGCAGCAACGCGGATGTGCGCAGCTCTTCAGATGCATTTGGTGCTTTCCAGGAAACTCGCTGAAAGGCTGCCTGCCAGCGGCCCCGGCAAGTGTTCGGAAAAGGCTCTCCCTTGGTTCAAGCAAAAAAGTACACCTGAGGCTCTGTTGACCCAGACTCACCCAAAAACCAAGCTATATAACCTAGCTTTATATGTTGGATGACTTGTCCATGAGACTTGTCCTGCTCAAGGCTCGGAACATGCACAGAGTCCGGACTTGGAGGTGGATGAACTGATGGACGAAGTGCCGCCCGATTTGCCACCCAGTCTGCCCACGGAGCAAACATCTCCCACAAGTCCTGGGCAAACAAAGAAAGGACTGCACAATGGTGAGACAGCAGAAGTTGATTCCAAAGTCACACCTCAGTGCTCACATTTTCTCACTGCAGAGCCTTTGTCATCAGGACCAGGAACACTTCGAACTCAGCGCCGCAGAAGCAGTGCTGGCCGACTCTCAGGTACTGGTGGCTTCTGGCAGGCAGGATGAAACGTGAAATTCCCAGACGGTGCTACAAACATCTACAACATATATATATATATACATGTCAGTTTTTTTGTTTTCTGCTTTTGTAGGTTTGGGGGTTCCACAGTCCAGGTCTAGAAAAGGGCAGATGGCTTGTCAGAGGACGACACGTTGGCAGGACAACATGCAGGTTCCATTCCAAGTGGCCGTGAACATGAGACGAAGACATAGCTTGGCGGCAGGCGAGCATGGCGAGATTTCTACAAGGATTTGACAGTAGTTTGGAGTGGAAATTACTCCTAAGTACCCGTCAGTAAGAGTGCTAGTGTACCTGGAATCGCTCGCATAGGTCAAAGGAGTAAAGAAAAAGCTGTATTATTCTTGATAGTTCAGCCTAGTATATAGAGGGAATTCTTCATAGAGATTGAAGATCAAGAAAGCCTTGTTGTACAAATGCGAGGGGACGCAAGGGGCAGTAAAGGAGTTCGGCACTTAAACCATTGTAGTACCATTCTTCTACATAATAGCAGTAAGAGGTGTTTGACATATTGTGTCACTGGTAAGTGTTTGCTGTAGTGGAAAGCCGGGGTCTTTGTTCTTTTCGTACCTTTCCCCCAGTGTGAGCATGCATCCAGTGCTACAGTAGGACTTCTTTCGGCTGCATTTTTAGAATTGGGTTCAAACGGAAACAGAACATGAGCTGACGACAACAGAAACAATGGCAATATGAAGCCACACGGAACACACGTGCATGGATGATCGCATGTCACTTTCATCAAGAACACGCTTCCTTCAGTGTAAAATAACAACGAGTTAAAGAAAACGACAAGGTTCTGCATTGTCACGACATTGCCAGCTGCTTCACCAGTTGAACCTGGTTCAACTAGGTCTCGAACAGGATACGTCAAGGCGAAGAAAAGATCACAGGATGATGGCAAAAAGGACACCAATAATGGGAACAATAAGCTACTAGGAACAAGTGCACCGCTAGTAGTAACAAGTGCCTTACTAGTAGTAACAAGAAGCTACTAG